GACACCCTTCCACTGGCAATGTGCTTATATCTTACAGAAGGGAGAGGCTTCTGACCAACCAGGCTCACCTAGAGTGCCCTGTGTGGCCAGCAGGGGAGGACCATGACCTTGCTGGTCACTCCACACTCTTGATGTTGGGGCCATTAAGAGAGTTTCTTCTCTCCCTCTGTCCAAGTCTTCACCATCACAGCAAGGTCTAACATATACTTACCCTCACCGTTCTCGTTTCTTTTTTTTTTTTTTTAAATCAAATTATCATTTTTTTTTCTGCGAGATCTTGAAAGAGCAAATAGAAAGATATTCAGAGCGCATATATATTTTTCTTCTCTAAGTGGTGTTTATTTAAATGCATATGCCTTGGTTTCCCGTGTAGAGTTGCAAGCAATACCTTTCAATTTAAATGTTAATAGCAGTGTAAACTTCAAAATCAAAATTTTTCCATGAGGGAGAACTGCTTTTTTTGGTTCTATTTAATGGTTTTCCTCGCCTTTCCTCCTCCACCCCGCCCCCCTCGTCATCAACCCCTTCTGCCCACTCCTCTCCACTGTGCTGAACTAAATGCTATTGCTAAAAAGTTTAGAATGAACCTTTTTCATTTCGAAAATTTGAATGTTAAACGTTAGGTCATGGAATACAGATCATGGGCTCAAACCCAACATGACGCGTAAGAATATTTTTCTTTATCTCAGCTTTAGCCTCAGAGGCCACCTCTCTGTTCCAGGTTTTTTCCAAGGGGATTATTCTTAGGCTTACCATGCATAATATTTTTCCAAAGCTTCAGAGAGATGTGTTAATGTTCCTTTTCCTTCCCTTCCCTTCCCTTCTCTTCCTTTCCTTTTTTTTTTTTTTTTTTTTTCCTAAAGAGGCAGAAAGAAATGGGAAAAGAAATACAAGTGATATAAGTACCTGGATACAAAGTACTCCTGCGGGCACAGCGAGCAGTCACAAAGACTAGAAAAGGCAGTTTCTCGTTGAACACTCAGGCTGCCTCCATAACTTGGTTATTGTAAATGATGCTGAGGTGGTGTGTATATACAATGTAATATTACTCAGCCACGTAAAAGGATGAAATCTTGCCATCTGCAGCAACATGGAAGGACCCAGAGGGTATCGTGCTGAGTGAAGTCAGACAGAGAAAGACAAAGGCCATGTGATTTCACTTATATGTGGGATCTAAAGAACAGAATAGATAGATGAATGAACAAAATAGAAACAAACTCATAGATACAGAGAACATTTTGATGGTTGCCAGAGGGGAGGGGTTTGGGGATGACTGAAAAAGGGGTCAGGGATTAAGAAGCACAAATTGATAGTTACAAAATAGTCACGGGGATGTTAAAGTACAGCATAGGGAATATAGTCGATGATATTGTCATAACTATGTGCAGTGTCAGAGATGCTAGATTTATCAGGTGATCACTTCATAAGTTATATGAATGTCTAATCACTGTGCCGTACACTGAAACTAATATAATATTGTATGTCAACTGTAATTGAAAAATAAAAAATTATTTTGAAAAAAGAAAAGGCAGTTCCTTCTAAAGGGGTCACATTGACCATCGGGTAACCCCCATGGGCAGGAGTAGGGCCATCTCATGTGGGTCATTCCACAGGCAGAGTGACCCTTGGGGATTTACTCAAGTGTAAACAAAAAGCAACAGAGATTTAAAGACAATGAAAATAATATATAATGCCTTTCAGTTCAGATACAGAACAGATACCTTGCTGAAGGCCTCATGGACTAAATTTTATGTCTGAATGTAAATCTGGCTTTATCTTTCTTTTCTTTATTTTCTCTTTCCTTCATTTCCTCATCAATTATTTTTATCCTGTTGTACTGTGTGTGGTCTATAAGCCTCCTTACATCTTTTTTTTGGAACAGGATAGGACTGTTAATACATAAATGATATGAATTTCAGTGATTTCGATTCTGTTGTTTTAAGGTGGTATTTTTGTTTGCCATATAGTTCCATTCGATAGTATCCTGTTCTTATTTCACGGAGGCAAACTGTGTTGCTTCTCTTATCTCTCTGGGAATATTAATAATACTTTTAATCATAATTTAAAATTTTTCTTTCTTCTCCCTGCTCAGTGTTTTCTCAGGTTCTTTTTCTTCCAGGTTATAGGCTTTTCTCAGATATCTGGTGGGTGGTTGTCTGGTTGGGGTGCTCGAGAGCTGCCTGGAGGCCTGAGTGAGTGGGTGGGCCTCCTTGGAGAGTGGTCAGAGGAGCTGCTTGCAGGGCACCCCCCGGTGTCGGCATGTCCAAGTGTGTCCCCTTGTGCTGGTCATCACTAGAAAGACTTCTCCCAGCCTCCAGGCCGGAGGGCAGAGGCCAGGCAGCCAGCTTCTGGGAGCCAGGCAGAGGAGGGCGGGGGCCTGGAAGATAAGCTCGCAACATTCTATACGCGCATAGCCATGTAACCTCCCTGCAGGTGATGGCCCTCGGCTGTGCTGACCAGCCAGCCCTCACCTGAGCTTGTCGACCCCTGTCCTAAGTGCTCCCACTCCAGCCCTGGGGCCAGGATGTGGGGGTGCCCGGGAGTGGCTGGGGAGATCTGGAAATCTAGTTCCGTCTCAAACAGCTTCCACCAAATCTTCTTTTTATATCCCTCCCCGCTAACTACCTGGCCCGTAGGGACCTGCTGGGCCAGTTCGTGAGGCTTTGGGGATTGGGCAGACTGGCCTTAGGTTTGGCTCTCTCTGTCGGCCAGTCACACTGCCCATCGGCTTTGCAGTTTCCCATCTTTTGCTGTCATCCGCGTTCCTGCCACCCCCCATCCTTGTAAATTTCTCTTTTTTAAAAAAAAATCTCTTCACTGTAGTTCTGGCTTTGGCTTTATTTGAGAGGAAGGAATGCATTTATTCAACCTGTCAGGATAACCCAGTAGGTATTTAATTACATTATTAATTTTATTTTCCCACTCAGTAATCCAACTCATTCTTCTTTTAGTTCACCGGTTTAGACTGTTTATCGATTAATTATTTAACTTCTTTGGCTTTTTCTTATCCGTAAAATAGGAGTATTTCTTGTCTCAGCTGCCTTCCAAGTTGTCACTGCAGCTGCTCTGAGTTACCACACAGGCCTGAGGACAAATAACCAGCTGTACAATTTCTGTGGCTCTGGCAAAGTCCGGCTCACAGGGTGACGGTGAATATCCTCCTGGGGCGGTGACAATACTCAAGCCCAAGCTCTGGTTTTCACCCTTCTTTCCACATCATCAGTTGACGTAGCCCTTTGAGAGTCAGCAAAGTGCACGTGATCTGTGTTAGAGGCCACAGCCAGTCCCCAGCCTGTGACACAGATAACCGTTGTCGGTCTTGGAACTTTTAGGAGGGGAATTATCCTCTCCATTTCTCTTTCTGCCTTTTCCTGTTTTCCTCTAAGTAGAACACCTCGCTTTCCTCCTCTGGTGACCACCTTCCCTCTCTCTCTGACTTGCATTTCCCTTTTCCTGCCCAGCCCACTTTCCTTTCCCTGGCCCAAGAGGACCCACCCTACGTGACACATTATTCACTTATTCCCCCAAGCGGTACCTTGGCTCCCATGGGTCTGCAGAGCCTGGGGGACCAGTCAGGCCTTCCAACGAGCAAGGCCAAGTGCAGCAGAGAGGGGTTCTATGGCTTCAGCAGGGTTGTCTGTCTCTAGAACTGCTGAAGGGGCCAAGGTTTCCCCAAGAAACCCCCCATTCTCTGAAAAGGGAACCCGAGGTGTCCCAGAGGCATAGACGAGAACTGCCGTGGCCTACTTCAGGGCCTACGAACCTCCCCTCCACCCTCACACTTCTCCCTTCCCCTGAGAGAAGGCAATGCCCATGGGGTCCTCCAGGCTTCTCTGGCAGTGTCCCCCAGGTAGAGACCGGGGCAGTGGCGTCACTCTTGTTCGGATGCCTGTGGGAGGGACTGAGGCTATCTGATAGGCTCAAATGTAGATAGGTGGACACCCCTCCCCCCACCCCACGGATGACATAGGTGGACAGGGAGCTAGCTGCTGGTGGGTGGGTGCTGGGGCAGGGTGGGAGGGGTCCATGACAAGTGGATGGAGTGTCACCCAGGAGGAATAAGAAGGCTGGATGCCAGAGAAGCAGTGTGAGGCACGTGGGGTGGGGGATGCACCGGAGGGCCGTGGAGTAGCCAGGAGGGAAGCTGACCAAGACAGGACAGCAGCAGCTCTGCCCTCTGCCTTCTGCTAAAAATACTTCCCTTCCAGACAGACCTCCTACCCCCTGGGGTCATGCTGGACTTTGTTTGGCAGGGTCAGTGAGGCCTGGAGCAGGGAAGGGCCTGACCCAGAAAGCTGAGCTGACCTGGGGTCCAGGGGACCGGGGGTGTTGCTTGGGGGCTCAGTCTGAGAGCAGGAAGTGTGGCTCCCCACCCGGCAACACCACATGCAGGGAAAGCTGGGGCCTGGTTGCTGGCGTGGCGATGAAGGAACTGGGAGCTACAGGCAGCTTCCTCTCACCCCGGGCCTTCTGGAGGGACCAGCAAACCCTAGAGCGAAGGGGAGGGAGACCTTAGCAGTTGCAGCCAGACTGCCCAGACCCCACCCAGCTGAGAGGTCAGCACCTGGGAGCCATGCAGATCCGGGTTGGATGCCCGAATCTGGCACTCACTTGGTGTATGGCTGGCAGCAAGTTGCTCCATTTTTCAAATAGGAATAAAGACGGTACCTGTCTCAGAAGGTTGAGATAGATGCTTGGGAAGGACAGCCCTGCACCTGGCACAAAAGACGCGTACAAGAAATGATGACCGTTATGATGCCACCTTCTCCCTGTACTCGGGAACCAAGCCGTCCGGGCAGGTTTTGCACACAAGGACACAGTCGTCATCCGGGCTCTCTGCTCTGTGGAGGCAGCGTGGCTGTATCCGCCTCCCTGAGAGGGACAGGCTGGCTTCCTGCCCCTGCAGTGCGCGCCCTTTCCCCTCTGCCTGGGGTCGGGGTGCATCCTGACCCCGAGTTCCAGGCTCTAATGGTAACCGTGTCCCTCCTGCTCCCCCACAGACCTGCGCAGGATGACGGCCGGCTTCATGGGCATGGCGGTGGCCATCATCCTTTTCGGCTGGATCATCGGCGTGCTGGGCTGCTGCTGGGACCGAGGCCTTATGCAGTACGTGGCAGGGCTGCTCTTCCTCATGGGAGGTAAGGCCGCAGGCTTGGGGGCCGTGGGGGCGGAAAGGTCCCAGTTACTAGGTTCTGGGGGAATGGCTAGGTGCCCAGAAGCTGAAGGCCACGATTCGGGCGGGGTTCTGCTCACCGACTCATTCATTCATTCATCAAAGGGTTTTTGAGTTCCTCTTAACCACTCCCCACTGTGCCAGCTGCTGGGGGTGCAAAGGCTGATAAGGCGTGGTCCTTACCTCGGGGGTCTGACTGCCTGGCGTGGGAGAGACGGTGTGGCTGTGGCATTGGGAGACGCATCAGACCTGGAGGGAGCATGAACCCGGATACTTGGGCATTTTATACACATACCAGACTTGAGGATGGGGGGGCCGTCATGTCTGTCTCTCACCCTCTGTCATTACCATGGCCACAGGACCTATCCGGGCCTCATAAGAGATTGTGGGTACAGAGAACTGTGTGGTTCTACAGGAACAGGCCACCATCTGTGGGACGTAAACGTGACTCCGCGGTCTACATGTGCCCTTTTCTCCCAGAAGAGCTAAAACGTGCTTTTTGGTCTCTGGCGTGGGTCTCGATTCAGAGGCGACGCTAGCCATTGAGTGTGCCCACCGCAGCCTGAGGAAAGTGGCCGCCGCATGTGCGGAGCTGGGCGGCGGGGAGCTGGGCCTGGAAAGAGGGAGTGAGAAGTGTTTATGGAGAGAGAGGGAGGTGAGTTCTGCCCACGGACAGTGAGGCGTCAGGCGCCATGCGCACGTGCCCAGCTCAGGCCCCTCTGGTGACAAATTGGCTCTGGGTTTCTGAGCAGAGGCGGGAGCTGAGGAGTGGGTCAGGCTGGGGAGCGGAGGGGGCTGTCCCTCCAGGTGTGCAGAGCTCCCTGAGGCCTGGCGAGCCGAGGGCTGGGCGAGGAAGAGAGTGACAGAATCTGTCGGGGGCCTGACGGTTGGGTCCCACCCCAGTGCTCGCTCGTGACAGAGGCCGGTGGAGGGAGGGCCCAGGTGGCTCTCTCTGGCACTCCCCACACCCCTCCTCTGGTGTCCCACAAAACCTGCCCTGCCGACCTTTTCCATCCCTCAGAGTCCTCTCCGGCGACACGAGGGGTCAGCTCGATCTGCACAGTCTCAGTAGCAGCGGAATCCTTTCCGTCTCCACCTCCCAGTCCAAACTTTGCGTGGACCCCGAAATGTAAAAAGCTAAAAGCGGAGGTGCTCTGTTTTTGCGAGTGTTCTCGCTCGGGCTCGTGGTTTTACAGACAGGCTCCAGCAACCCGGGCTTTCCGAGGCCCTGGAGAGGCCCCCCGGGAATGCAAGCAAAGCTGAGTGAACAGGTCGCTGTGGGCCGAGCAGGAGCCCGGGAGCTTGGGGAGCGGACACGCTGTCATCCCCCCCTTTGAGGTGTCCGCAGCTCCCCACGCACTCTCATCTCCCCCTCTCTCCAGGCCAGGTACGTGGCTCACCTCCGTCCAGGTGCTAAGTCTCCAGGATGTTTCGACTCTGACAGCTCCCTTCTGGGCTGCGGATGTCAGCTTCCGGAGACAGAGGGGGACCGCTAGTGTCCTTTCCAATGGCTGTGGGGTCCAGATGCCCAGAGCAGTGCCATCTGCTGTGCCCAGGAGCTGCTTAGCTAGGAGCTGGGGAGGAGCAGACTCAGGACGGAAGCTGTGCTTCCACAACCCCTGCTGTGCTGAGGGGGGGACACTGAGAGGTGGGGGTGTCAACCCAGAAGTGATGCCTTGGCCTAAAGAACCCTGTGTGTCCAAAAGAGACATTTCAGCACCAGCCCCTCCCAGAACGTGACCAGTTCCTGCCTTCCAGGAGTTAACCTCCTAGGCTTGACCTGTTGAAGAACTTGGAGAGGCAGCTACCTATGACAGCCACCTCATGGACACAGCAAAACAATCATTCACTCAAACTACCGGTATTTACAGCAAAGCAGAACAGAAAGGTCCACAGCCTTAGCTTTCACCCAGAGTGGATGTCAGGCTTCTGTAACTGAGCACAGACAGACAGGTGCCCAAAGGGTTAGATCGAGTGACAAGGGAGATCAGCCGGGGTCTAACAGCAGCATGCGTGTGGTGAGCAGGTGGAGAAGGAGGTGTGAGCAAGAATGAAAAAGGCAAATTTGGGGTCCAGCGTCTAAATAGGTGAAACTACCAGGGCCAAAATAAAAATGGAAAGATGCCATGAACCACCTCGTCTCTGTTCCAACGTGACGGAGGATGGTCCACACCGGGCACTTCTCTGCCCCAGATTCAACTATTTCCTCGGGCTAAAGAGAGGGCACCCCGCAACTTGTGAAATAACTAGCAACCAATCGTTTAATTAACACTCAACCCAGAGTTGGCAATTAATGAAGTCGGGCAGCTGTGTCAAGCCAGGAGGCTGGGGGAGGTGGGTGGGACCCAGTCTTCCCCTTGGCAGGGCCTCCAGGGGAGAATCTCGTCCGAACTGGCGCAGCACCATTCGGGTCCCAGCAACTGCCAGAGACAAGCGTCTTGATGACTCATCCGTGGTATTCAGAAGTGCAGGAACAGGATGACATGGGGCGGGCGGGGCGGTGGGGGGAAGCAGCATGGCGAGGGAGCGTGTGACTGCTACGGTGACTTGTAATTCACTCGCTGGGTGAACCTCAGAGCCGCCTCGTGCACACAGCGCCTTCCCTGCCCGCGCCCCGTGGCCGGCTTTCTTAGATTCCAGCCTCAGAGAGAGCTTCCTTGCCCTCCCGATGTAATGAACCATCCCGCCACTCTCGCTGCTTAATTTAATTTTCTGCAGGACACTCTTACTTTCTGTGATGTTGCTGCTGTTGTGTCTTGGTTTTAGTTAAAATTTTTAGCAGCATACAACAAACATTTACTATCTCGCAGCTTCTGTAGATCAGAATTCCAGGCCCGGCTTAATTCGGTTCTCAGAGAACGGTCGTCAGGATGCCGGATGGGGCCGGGGTCTCACCTGAGGCCCAGGTCCTCTCCCAAGACCATGATGTCGTCAGAATTCCTCTCCTTGCAGCTGCGGGACTCACAGAAGTTTGCTTATTCGAGGCCAACAGGACAGAGCCTCTGACTTCTTCCATCTCTGACCTTCAGATCCCTTTTGTTCTAAGACTTTATGTTTTAGAAAAGTTTTAGGTTTATAGAAAACTTAAGCAGATGGTACAGAGTTCCCATACTACCCTCTGACCCTGCACACAACTTTCCCTATTATTAATATCTTCTGTTAGCAGAGTACACTTGTTACAATTAACGATGGTACGTTGTTATTAACGAATGTCCATAGTTTATTCAGATTCTTAGTGTTTATCTGATGTCCTATTTCTGCTCTAGGACCCCAAATAGGATCCCCCATTACATGAAGCTGTCACGTCTCCTCAGGCTTTTCCTACTGTGACAGTTTCTCAGACTTTGCTTATTTTTGACGACCTCGGTAGTTTTGAGGAGTGCCGGTCATTCACACTGTAGGCTGGTCATCTGTTGGAATGTGTGTGAGGTTTTTCTCATGAGTAGACTGGATTATGGGGTTTTTTTTGTTTTTTGTTTTTTGATTAGTTTGTTCTTTTTATTCCTTAGATTCCACATATAAGTGAAATCATATAGTGTTTATCTTTCCCTGTCTGACTTAAACACCTTCTAGAAGACCCAGGATATACAACCAAGAATAATTTATCCAGGGTTATGGGTTTTGGAGAGGAAGATTACACGGGTCAAGTGCCATTTTCATCGCATTATTTCAAGGGTATCGCCGTGATTTACTACTGTTGATGTTGACCTTGACCACCTGGCTGAAGTAGTGGGTGTTGGTTACTCTTTCTTCCCCATTCCCAGACTGTCCCCTTTGGAAGGAAGTCACTGGGCACAGCGGACATTCAGGCTCTCTCTCCTTTAGGATGGACTATCTACATAAAGTATTCGAAATTCTTCTACACGGGGGATCTGTCTCTTCTTCCCTATTTTTTAATTTATTCAATCATTTATATGTATCAATGTGGACTCATGGATATTTATTTCATGCTTTGGGTTATAATCCAATATTTTGTTTATTTCATTGTTCCAGTTGTCCTGGCTTTGGCCATTGGGAGCTCTTTCAGTGTCCCTCTGACATGCTCCTGTTGACGTGGGTTTTTGTTGGTTGTTTTTGTTTTTTGAGCCCTTATTTTTTGGCACTGAGGTACTCCAGACTCATCACGTGTATATCCTGCCCCAGCCTAAAATCAGCCATTTCTCTGGTTCCTTGTATTGGAGAGGGGGATTGGGAATTAAGATCTGGGCACCAGGTGTCTGTAGTGTTTTTAACGTTCTCTTTTTGTTTATTGACTGTCCCATCCCAACACTTACATGTAAACTCCACGAACTCTAGAGCCTCGTCTGCCTTTTTCTCCAAGTTGTCCCCCGTGTCCGGAATAGTGTCTGCACTCTCAAATATCTGTTGAATGCATCGCAAAAGCGAACTCTGTGCAACAGAGAGAAAGTATTTTGTGTTGTCTCGATGGAACAGTAATCCTTCAAGAAAGAACCTAGCTTACCTTCTTTCCTGATCTTGTCTTCCCATCCATGGGATTTCTTACTCTCTTTTTAAACTTGATTTGACCAGTCCTAGGGTCTCTGTACTTCTGGTATGAAATGTCTCAAATTCCCTTTAGAAGTAGGGTGGAAATTATACATGAATTCCTGAGAGTTTTGTCTTTAATTTGGACTCCTAAAATGTTAAGAATGGAAGGGACCCAGTGACCATCCCGTTTGACCTCTCTGTGCTTCCAGATAAGAGTAGTTATGTCAGTTGTCCTAGTCACTCAGCTAGTGAATGGTGTAACTGGAGCCAGAGCTGGACCAAGGACACCAACTTGGAGACTCACAGCCCATCCTGCTGCCTCTGCCTTCAGCGCCTTGTGCTGAGGACCCCGTGACGCCCTGTGCCACACGTACATCTTCCCCCACTAGCGTGGCTCCAATTCTGTGCTTCTCAGCAGGTGCCAGCGTCCCCAGAATCTCTCTATTCCCTTTCTGTTTCTGGGACAGATGGAGAGGA